CGCCTGGGCAACGTATGGAGAAATGACAGAATTTGGTGGTGAACAGTAAAAATCATAAATTTGACTACTTTTGTCCAAAATGAAACCATAACATCACAGAAAGCATGATTACTTGCTGCAGATGATGCAGGATCAAAAACTGTGGTTTGCATTGAAGTCAATGGGACGTTTTTGCCTCTAATGGCTCGAGTGTATAGTGGATTTTAAATCTGTTGCTATGGAAAAACTATAAATGCAAAAAATTCAAAATTTTAGATATTTCATAACATAATCAAGACTGATTGGAACTAAACACCCCCAGGCAAAAAAAATGTCTTTTAGAAAATAACTCAGTTTTAGTGTTTTTTTCTTCTTCATAAATTACATCAATGACTGAGTATTTAAACTGGCATTTCAAGGGTTAAAAGCCTCAAAATGACTGAATTTTTTTTAATGTTTGAGCAGGGCTGAAGTTGTTCAACAGATGTGTGAAAAAAAAGTAATTTTTTTTATAGCCACTATTACAAGCAGCTGTTTTTGTCCTCTAAAGTCTCAAGTGTTTCTTTCATAGTGTTCCCTTGGTCTATTTTAAAAATTCCAAATTTGTCCAGAGAGCGGTTTTGCGACAACATTTTTTACCGTATGCACAAACGGTGGTGAAATGGTGTCAAAACGAAAAACAAAAAACTGCCCAAATGGACAAAAAAGTCCCTAACGAAGCCTAAGTTTCATAAGATTGTTCAAAACATACAGCAGGTCCCGGAGGTCCAGCAGGTCCTTCGCTTCCCTTCAGTCCTCCACCACCCTGGAAGGAAACATCAAAAGATCTCATCACGGTTTCACCTGAGCTCCACTAAACCCTCTAGAGAAACATAAAGCATCAAACTCTGATGGTCTGAACTCGTTTCACTCACAGGGGTTCCAGGAAGTCCTCTCTCTCCAGGGAATCCTCTCAGACCAGGAGGCCCATCTTTACCAGGGCCTCCTGGAGGTCCGGGGTCTCCCTTGGTGCCCTCTTTTCCTGACGGACCAGAAAGTCCCTGCTCTCCTGGAGGACCTGGAGGTCCAGGGTGCCCACGCTCACCCATGGGGCCCGTTTCACCTGATGGACCCTAGGAGGATGGAGGGAAAAGACTAAATATGACTGAGTTGTTGCAAAAGCTGTGAAATGATGGAACCGGATGGATTAACCCACCTGAGGTCCTACAACTCCAGGAGGCCCAGGTGGACCCACTTTACCTTGGAACCCCTGTAGAAGAAGACTTGGTGAACCTAAAGATGCAGCAGAACACCTTAAACTAAGTTTATCTACAAACTTACGACTTCTCCTCTCTGTCCAGGATGTCCAGGCAGTCCGTCCTTTCCTGGTGGTCCCTGTGAAGTATTAGTTTACCTTAATTCCCCAAAAACTTCAGCTCCCATTTCAAAACAATAACCTAAAAGTCTTCAGCAGCAAAAAGCAGAAACCAGACTTACTGGAGGTCCCTTTGGTCCGGGGAAGCCGTTGGCTCCTTGAGGTCCGGGTAATCCCTGATCAGACCATGACATCGTATAAAATTAGAACATAAACTATAACCTAATTAAAACGTTTCATGATTTCCTGTAGCAGCAAATAAGAACTCACCCTCTCTCCAGGAGGACCAGGAGGGCCGTCACTTCCAGACGTTCCCTATGAGGAAATATAATATTTTAGGTCTGTCTGACACACAAAAATACTTTTAGATTATTGTATAAATAAGAAATTATTCATATGAAGATTTGATAAAAGGGAAAAGCGTACATTTGGAGAACGTTGCTAAGCCTGGGTGTTTCGATGTTTAGACAAACCTTTGCTCCTAGTTTTCCTGTTGATCCCCTCGGTCCTCTCTGCCCTCGAGGACCCTGGTGATCACAGACAAGAGTTAAAATAGATTTCCTGATCCAGAAAAAAATATATATTAATGCAACCAAATTAACACATTAAACCATGATGTGCTACTACTAGTTTGCCCGCTTTATTATAGATTCACTAGGAGAAATACAATAAAGTTTATCCCTCACCAAATAGAATATTTACTAAGAAACCACAATGTAACCATTGTGTGTGTGTCTGCTCTGTCTTCTCGATCCCCAGTGAGTCGTGAAGGATGGCTGCTTACACTGAGCCAGGATCCTCTGGAGGTTTCTTCCTGTTAAAAGGGAGTTTTCCTCTCCACTGTCGTTGCATGCTTGCTTAGTATGAGGATTGCTGTAAAGTCACTGACACTAGTCACTAGAACCTGCTGGGTTCCTTATATAGGAAACTTTTTTCTGATTGGCTTAATGAACTGACCTGGATTGGAATGTTTACTGTGTGAAGGTCCTTGAGACGACTCTGGTCGTGATTTGGCGCTTCATAAATAAACTTGAATTGAATCATTGTAAGCACAGTGCAACACCACCTAAACTGTTACTGACCAAAGGTAGTCTCTGCTGACCCCCAGTGGTTATAATTGTAACTGCACTGGTGCTAAATGATGTCGACACAAATCAGCTTCTGTTTAGTTCCTCTGGTCTGACTAGGAGCTCTGAGTAAATGAGAACTTTACCGTTGGTCCTCTTTGTCCTCTTGGTCCTTGTTTTCCAGAAACACCCTGATTTAAAAAAGAAAACATGTTATAAACTAATAAAGCACGACTACGTCTGGGTAAAATCATCACTCGTTTTAATGTTTCAGGAAGGTAACTCCTGCTTTGATAACAAGTATAACAGCTCACCCGCGTTCCCTTCTCTCCATTAGAACCAGGAAATCCAGGGAATCCAAGAGATCCCTAAAAACAAACATCTTTATATCAGTAATTATAGAAAACATTAACTAACTTCTGATGTACAAGTGTTTATTTACCTTGGGTCCTTGTCTTCCAGGGTATCCAGGAAGTCCAGGTACACCAAGTTTACCCTGGAAAAATGTCAACGATGTCATAAAATGCACAAAAAGTATATTAGCGGGTTTCAGGTAAATGTTTAGGTAGAAAAGGAGACAAGCAGCTAGTTTTACTCTCAGAAGCTGTAGTTGTGTTATTGTGTCCTGCAGTAAATTTAGAGGAAACATGTTTAGTTTAATAAAGCTAAAATAAACATTTAGAACAGGGGTGGGCGACATATTCTTATCTTATTTTCCACATCTGTTGATACTGATATACATCACCATATAAAACTAATCAATATTTATCTACCTTTAATGTTCCTGTTTAACCTGTTAAACCCTAACACCCCCCAACTGGGGGCCTCTACAGTTTCATGTCCCAGACATCTACAACTGTCCACATTCTCCAAACAACTACAACCACAATCAAACAGCTCAGATGGGAAACAAGGCCATTTTAAATTGTAATAAATTAAGAAACAATGATGTTTGAACTTTATTTTAGAAGAGCATCTGGCCTTCTCTGGTCTCTGCTGAAAAAAAAAAAACTTGAACAAATGTAGTTGAGGATCCCTGGAATAAATAAAACAATTGACTAAATTTTCTAAATGGAATTTGAACTCACAACCTCCATCCTGTCAGCACTTTCACACAGGGCAGCTCTTCTAAAATAAAGTTCAAGTATTATTTTATCTTAATGTATCAGAAACCAAAAAGAGCTTTGTTTACAATCTAGACTGTTTTGATTGTAGCTGTAGCTGTGCTCGGGTAATGCAAACAACCACTGACACTTGGGACATGAAACTCCAAAGGCCCCTGATTGGGAGGCGCCAGGGCCCAAAGAAAAAAGGCCTAGGGCCTAAAGTTATTTTTGATTTAAAGCTGCAGCGCGCACGTGTGGTCGTTAGAGGAACTGCAATCAGCACAACGCACGCCCGTGACATTAAACCAGAAGTCCTATATTATGTAACATCCTCTTTTAAAACTAATTAAAATGCCACAAAGTAAAAAATGTCACCCTTTTTTCCATAAACCACAAAAGGAAGTACAACCGTGAGCTCATCTTTATATTCTTCTCTGATTTAAACGGTCGTACCTTCTCTCCAGCAAGCCCAATTGGTCCGAGTTCTCCAGGAGGTCCAACACGACCCTTTGGTCCCTCTGGGCCATCTTCTCCTCTGGGCCCTGAAACTCCAATCTCACCCTACCAGTGAGGAACATCAGATAACAACAGTCACAATAAAGCAAACATGAAACAGGACTGAAACATCATCTAATCTTATCCACCACAAACTTATTAGCTATCATTTATTTTACCCTCTCTCCCTTGATGCCAAAATCCCCCTTAATTCCTGGGAAGCCATCTTCTCCCTACAAACAAAAACAGTTATCTGTCAATCGAGGATATTTAGGACATTTCACATGACTGATTTTAAGCGGTAACGGAGGAGTTACCTTCTCTCCTTTGTGACCCTTTAGACCGCGGATTCCTTGCACTCCCTGCAATCAAAACAAAATGTTTGGTGGTTTAATCTTTTTAAATATGACATGAAAAAACTTTAAAATATATCATTAACTCATTCGCTGCCAGCGTTTCTCGCCATTTTTTAAGAGTCACAGAACGTTGCGCGCTAGGATGATGTCGACGCCAAAACAAAGCGGAGACCCACCTCTTACATCAGGAAGAGTCCGCGCGTTTCGACCGTTATCCGTTCTTTCATAATCCGTTGTTGAATTGTGATCGGCAGAAGCTTTTCCAGTTCGCTCCTCACTTTTTTTTTTTTACAGCAGCGGCCCAAAACGATCTCCTAACACCTGGATGTTCTGCTTCCTGATCACGTGACGTACGCGGATGAAGATCGGCTTTAGAGCCGAGATGTTTGTTCTCACGGTGCGGGGGCTCGTCCGACGCCCACACAGTAAAAACATGGCAGTGAACGGTTGGATTTAAAATGTTGACTTTTGTCATCATTGGCAGTATATGAGTTAATACACTGCTCAAAAAATAAAGGTAACACAAAAATAAGACTAGATCTGAAGCTGAACGTGCCGACAACAAACACAAAAATTATGAATGGAAATCAAACGTAACCCACGGAGGTTTGGATTTGGAGTCGTACTCAAAATAAAAGTGGAAAAACAACAGGCTGGTCCAGCTTTGATGTCACGTCCTTAAAACAAAAGAAAATGAGGCTCAGTAGTGGGTGTGGCCTCCACGTTTGTACGATCTCTACAACTCTTGGGCATGCTCCTGATGAGGTAGAGGATGGTCTCCTGAGGGATCTCCTCACAGGGTTCTACAACCTCACAACATAATCGGTCATTCACACGCTGGTGATGATGAGCTATATTGTAGCCACAGCTGCCCTGGGGCGCATTGACAGCAGAGACTGCCACACACTGGCACCACCAGTCTCTCCAACCACCACCATCAAGCAAGGCGGGTTAGGGGTCTTGCCCAGGGACACAACAGCAGCATTCTCTGGTGGGAGCGAGGATTGAACCTTGTAACTTACCAAAAGGTCAAATATTTCATCAAAAATTACCAGAAATTTACTTGTAGACACAAACTGCATCACACATCCAGGGATGCATCACATCTGTCTGGCAACGCCTTTAAACGTGTCAAATTCTGATTTGTAAACATTTGATATAGACAAGGATCACTTCCTGATCTAGTTAGTTCTTCAGAGTTCACTCGGTTTAGGCCGACCAGTGAGCAAGCATTTGGGACCACCCTCTTATCTGACCTCAGGTCAAAACATTGCTCTGCAAAGCTTGCAAGTGACATCAGACACAACAGCCTCAGATGCAAAATAGACACTCCAGCTTCCTGCCGTCACCTGAAGGTATCTCAGACTAGATGGGTCATGCTCGGAGGTAGGGCTGCTCGATTATGGCAAAAACAATAATCACGATTATTGTGACTGAAATAGAGATCTCGATTATTTAAGATGATTTTTCAATTTATTTAGATTTTATTTGTTTTTGTTCAGTCATAAAATTGCTCAGGGCACAATCAGGACAAAAATAAATAAGAAACAAGATGATCACTAAAATAACTCCTGATTCCCAGTATAAAAAGACCAATATACTTATAGCTCATAGTTTATGACCCAAGGGCTGTAGACCTTGGTTTAACTCATTTAAGTCTAACCAGTACAGACCCAAATACCAATATCTTACAAATATTGACAGCAAGAATTATACAGAAGCATTCATAATAAATGCAAATAAATTGATGTTCATAAAATGTTGTATAACATTTATTTAGTCATGTCAAGGTGCTGTAGGAGCGTGCACTAGCACCGTGTCCTCAGAGAGATTAGTTATTATTTATCAGCGTGAGGAACTTATTTCTACCTTATTTATAAACTATGTATTTACAAGTCCATCAGTGAATGTAATAATTGTCCCAACCACAGCTGCACCCCCCACCCCCCAACCCGGTTTCACAGCAATCATGGGCAAGCTGTACGTGTGTTTAGCACGCACACATTTAGCTGTTTTTAGCAGCTCAGGAGCCCGCAGTTACGGTGTGTGTCACTCACTCTGTTTAATCCAACAGGGAACCAGCTCTAAGAGCCGTTTCTTTAGCGACTGACACATCACTACATCATTCCCTTTCCTAATGTCCTGAAGAACGGTCCGGAGCGCAGGCGGAGTGTTTAGCTAACCTGCAGGAAATGTCAACGACAGTTGTCTAGAAAGTAGCTAAGGGTTACCAGAGATGTTTCTGAGGTGTTCGCTAGGTATTTTTACGATTTAAAAAGTCAAGACGGGGGTCTGAAAAGCTACTAGAAATAGCGTCAAAGTCGCTAAGTTGGCAACACTGTGGGAGGAGCGCTTCATTTGCAACTCAGGGCAGTGCAAGTGGGAGGAGCAAATAATCGGCTTGTTTTGTTTTTATAATTGTTCAAAACTCAGATCATAATTGGGATTAAAAATCGATTATTTGAGCAGCCCTACTCGGAGGTCTCCATCCTGACCTCTTGACACCCTGGATCTCACGTGGACCTTCATACAAGGGTGCGTAGACTCGGCACAAATGGCATCGGATGGTTTTATGAACAATCTAGCTTATTAAACCATACAGCCAAACTGATTTTAAAACTCAGACATCTGAAACATGTAGCTCATATTCCACCATTTCATTCATCATCTGTTATCCTGTACAACCATCATCTCATCCATACTTTGTCATGTTTAATCATTAGTTTAGAAAATACAATTAAACTCATTTTTATAAACTATATCCTTGACTCTGTCTGAATGAATACGAAGTGTGTGTTCCCTGAAGAGTCAAAGAACCTAAAGGAACGTTAATTCAAAGATCAATCAGACTGATATTTCATATTTATATGAAACACCACATCTTATTGATCATTTAATAAATACGAAGTCAATCCACACCGCTACAACCTTCTGATAACTGGACAACCCCCTCAACCTCCTGAGCTACTGCTGCTACCTGGACTAAAACATCTGCCAGCTCCTGGACTGTCTGTGGTGCAACGTGGTGTTGGTGGATGGAGCGAGACATGATGTCCTAGATGTGTTCAACTGGACTCGGGTCTGGGAAACGGGCGGAGCAGTCTATAGCATCAATGCCTTGCTCTTGCAGAAACTGCTGACACACTTTAGCCATGGGGTCCAACATTGTCTCACATTAGGAGGAACCCAGGGCCAACCGCATCAGCATGTGGTCTCACGGCAGTCTGACCACCTCTGGTGAGCACAACTCAGGTGTGTTCCCCCGTTTTCTTATTTTAATGCATTTTTAAAGTATTGGATATCGGCAGCCACTCATAATTAAGTGACATGAACAGAAAATGTGTTGGTATCTATGAACATTTTGATAAAATATTAAATAAATGTTCCGACCTTGATGCCACGAGGGCCAGGATAGCCGATGGCTCCTTGAGGACCGTTGGGACCCTGGAGATGATCAGGAAGATGAGTTAGAAGCATAAGACAACTAAAACCACAAAGATCTACTCTAATTATTCTAAATACACACAGAAAAAAGTTTAGGATGAAACAGATTAGGTGGTTTAAATCGACACCTACCTGGTTTCCTTTAGTGCCTGACGGACCCTCCTTTCCTGGGTGACCCTGAGAACAGAAAATGGGGCTTGAGTCTCTGGACAAATAAAAATACATAAAATCATATTTAATATTTTAAAAGGGAAACTTACAGGAGGGCCGTCCGCTCCAGGCATTCCTGGTAAACCCGGTTTTCCAGTGGGACCCTAGAAAGAAGCACAAAGTGGTCATGAGCTTAATCCGAGTACCGTATTTTCCGGACTATAAGCCGCTACTTTTTCCCCACGCTTTGAACCCTGTGGCTTATAATGAGGTGCGGCTTTACTGAAGATTTTCCTTCACCTGCCACTAGGGGGCGCTTTAACAGGAAGTGAAACAGGTGGAAGTCAAAAGTGGAAATCGAGGAAAGTGCTCATTTTAATTTAGCACATGCAAGCAGCCGGCACCACGAAGAATTTTTTTCACATCCATACCCCCTCATCATGGTAACTACACGTATGAGTTCATATGATGCTGCATTTAAGCTGAAGGCCATCAATCTGGCAGTAAAGGAGGGAAACAGTGCTTGTAACTGCAGTTGCTGTTTATTTCTTCATTTATTTATTTTCCCATTTGTAAGACACTGGGTTAGTTGTGTTTCCTGTAATTTTATTTTGAAAAGCGACATGAGCTGCTCTGCCAGCCACACCCTTGATTTGATGGATACAAGCCAGGTGTGAGGAACACAGAACCTGGATGAAGTGCTAACAAGCAGACAGCTAATGGACTGCTAAAGAACTAACTAGTAAAAGGACTTAAAGGAAACTAGTAAAAGGACTTAAAGGAAGATGGATTCCCTTTGTGTTTTAAGCAAACAGCCAACGAGGTATTTATTTGTCTTTATTTTATTGCACATTATTGTATATGTTTTAATTGTACTATCCTGTATTTAGTTTCACGGTTTAAGAGAGGTCTAAAGAAAGGAGGACAGAAGAGGTCCACAATGAAAAGACGTCCAATAAACCCGTAAAAGAAATCACTTGCGTCTGTGTTGCTTGGAGGGAATCATAGTGAAACTCGTCTGTTGTCAGCAAACGCCAGTGAAGTAACAAGGACCAGATGATCTTCATCTCTTGGACAACAGTGCATGGACTGGCAGATAAGTGGCCTATTCACACATAATTGAAGAAGACAATAAAGACTTTTGGTGGAAGACTCTTTTGCAACAAGAAACTTGGTTGATGAAAAGATTGCTGATCCAAATTGATGTTACCAGTGATTTGTTTGAGTACATATTGAACTGAAACTTGCTTTATTGTTGCATGTTATCCAAAGGTCAAAGGAAATGTAATTTGTTGCATATTTAATACTTGAAAGGTCAAGGTGTTTCAGTAGAGTGTAACAATTGAGTTTGAAATTCTATGCAAGTTTATTTCATTCTTAAAATCAACATTTCCTAGCTAGATAATTGTTCAGCCATGTCAGAAAGAAATGAGCCTGCAGATGAGGATGAAGATAGTGCAGAGCCACTGCGAGAGGAAGAGCAGCTGCTCAGACGTGGGGCACGCCAACGTACTCTAACAGAGAAGGGCAAGGCACTACAAGAAGAGAAAATTAAAGCTCTTACACAAAGATTTAACTACATTTACAAAAAATGGAAAGCACATGTTAAATTCTTTAAACATTCGTCAAAACAGTCCTCAGAGCCTTTATCAGAGGGTCTACTTAATGATATCTTGGGGGAGGTTAAAGGGCTTTGTGCCGACATCCAGCGTGTTTATGAAGATCTGCGCAAACTCTCAACTCCAGATCAAGAAACACGGAGAAGAGTAGATTTGTGTGTGGAGATTTCAAACTTCATCCTTTCTAAAGCTTCACGTCACCTGGAAGGACAAGCGCAGGAAGAGGAGCAGGTTTGGCCAGAAGCTGGCTCCTTTTGGAGCACAAGTAAAAGTGAAACAGAATCCATCACCTCCGTCATGAAGAGCGCCACCTCTGAGCATTCAAAAACTTCTTCAGTAAAGAGGCAAGAAGCAGCTGCGGACGCTGCAGCAAGCCAAGCTGTTCTAAAAGTGTTAAAGGAACAAGAAAGAGAACAGTTGGAATTACATCGCCTGGAAGCAGAAGCCAAGAAGAGGATAGCAGCTCAAGAGGCAGCAGCTAAACAGCGGCGCTTAGAGCAAGAGGAAGAAGAGGTGAGGAGGAGAAAAAAGAAAGAAGAGGAAGAAGCTACAATGACAGCTAAAGTAGAAGAAGAACACACAGCTCTACAAATGGCTCTAGAAGAGAAACGAAGGAGAATCAACCATCTAGAAACCATGAAAGAGCTCAGCGCTGCACAGGCAAGAATGCAGGTATACGATCAAGGATCTGACATTAAGAAAGGGGTCAAGCGACCTATAAGCCATAAGATGGCAGTACATGTTAAGCCATCAAGTCAAACAAGCTGTCAACAATCATCTATACCCCTTGTTCCACAACAACCTCTGAGTTCTTCCTCAAACCAAGACACTGCAGGTTTAGTTAAGCTACTTGCAGATGCTTTAAATGCAAACAGAATTCCACTACCCGAACCTTCAATATTCAGCGGGGATCCGTTGAAATACAGTGATTGGAAGCTGTCGTTCCAAACCTTGATTGATCAAAAGAATATTCAGAATAAAGAAAAGATATACTACCTTCGTAAATATGTTGGTGGACAAGTTAAAAACGCACTAGATGGTTATTTCCTGCTTGGAACCGAGTCTGCCTATGTTTCAGCGTGGGAGATCCTGGAGGAGAGATATGGAAACCCATTTACAGTTGCAACAGCATATAGGGATAAACTTCAAGCATGGGCCAAGATTGGACCTAAAGACAGCACCGATCTAAGAGAGTTTGCTGATTTTCTACGGAGCTGCGAAACCGCCATGGCTCATATCAAGGCACTGGAGATCCTAAATGACTGCAGTGAAAACAGAAAGATTCTGGCAAAGTTACCTGATTGGTTAACTGCAAGATGGAACCGAAAAGTGATGGAAATGGAAGAGGAGAATGGCCAATTCCCTTCTTTCAGTCAGTTTGTAAGATTTCTGACCAGAGAATCAAAAATTGCCTGTAATCCAATAACATCATTGCAATCATTAAAGCTAAGTGATAAATCCAAACAACAAAATGTCAAAGTCAAAACATTAGTCACACGTTCTAATGAAGAAACTATCAACATATGTGTTTTTTGTAAGAAGCATGGACATACTTTGCACACATGCAGAAAGTTTATGCAAGATGAAGTCTCAGACAGAGTTAAATTTGTCAAGGCTGAAAAGTTGTGTTTTGGATGCCTCAACTCAGGTCATTTCTCAAAGAGCTGCAACTGTAGGAGTGTTTGTAATATATGCAATAAGCAACATCCTACTTGTCTGCATGAAGAGCGAGACAAAAGAGAACAAAGGGCAGCACAAGTTAAGCAAAGTCAAGTTCATGAAACTTTTACTCAAGGAAATAATAAAGTCAACCCACAAACAAGGCTAGCAAGAGACATTGTCACAGCTTCTACCTTCAAGGTCAATCAAATTGAAGCTACTTTCCAAACAGCTGCAATAATTCCAGTTTGGCTTTCCTATGCTTCACAGCCAGTTCCGGAAGTGCTTGTTTATGCACTACTAGATTCTCAAAGTGACACAACATTTGTGCTAAGCGATGCAGCTGACTCTTTGGAGGCACCCAAGGAACAAGTGAAGTTGAAGCTTTCTACAATGACATCACAAACTACTACAGTAAGGTCTCAACGAGTAAATAATTTACGAGTTCGGGGTTTCTACTCAAATAAAATAATCAATTTACCACCAGCATACACACGCGATTTTATTCCTGCCAACAGAGCTCACATACCAACTGACAAAACTGCAGAGGCTTGGTCCCACCTAGAGCACCTGAAGTATGACATAGCACCCCTACAGGACTGTGAGGTAGGCCTGCTTATTGGCTACAACTGCTCACAAGCCTTTCTACCAAGGGAAGTTGTGTCTGGTCAAGACAATGAGCCCTTTGCTCAACGCACAGATCTTGGATGGAGCATTGTTGGTCATAGCAATCCCTGTGTCAAGTATGGAGATGCAATAGGAGTTAGTCATCGTATAGTTGTCCGTCAAGTGAAACCAAAGGTTGACTCTGCTCTCAATCTAAAGGGTGAAGTTCACTATGTGAACAGATCAAAGGTTAAAGAAAGGAAATCCAACTTGTTCTCAGGACCAACATGTCTCTGGCAAAATGAACTACCTGCTTCTAAATACAAGATAGAAGTACAAGATGATGATCCTGAACTCCGCAGGGCTTCAGTGTTTAACACAAAGGCAAAGGAGAGCAGATCACATTTAGAGCGCTTTGAGAAGTTCTCTGACTGGTCAAGATTAGTGAAAGCTGTTGCCAGATTGAAGAGACGAGTCGCGGAACACAAAAGGTTGAAACAAAGAACCAATGAGGGAACAAGCTTGGAGGAAAGAAAAGACGCAGAAATTGCTATTGTCAAGCAGGTTCAAAGGGAAGCATTTCCAGATGAGATACAAAGCTTAAAGGCAAAGGAAGGTGTGGTTAAAACCAAGTACAGCAAGCTGAAAGGGTTAAATCCCACCTTGGATGAAGATGGAGTTTTGAGAGTAGGAGGACGTTTAAATCAATCAGCGTTACATCCTCACATAAAACATCCAGTAATACTACCAAAGAACAGCCATATATCCTCTCTGCTTGTCAAGCATTTTCATGAAAGGATTCATCATCAGGGACGTGGAATGACCGTAAATGAACTCAGAGCAAATGGATGGTGGATCCTAGGAAGCAGTGGCATTGTATCATCACACATCTTTAAATGTGTTAAGTGTCGAAAGTACCGAAGATGTACTGAAACCCAAAAGATGGGTGACTTACCTCAAGACAGAATGGAAACAATGCCTCCATTCACCTACACTGGCATGGATTGCTTTGGACCAATCTATGTAAAAGAGGGAAGAAAAGAGGTTAAAAGGTATGGACTTCTACTCACCTGTTTATGTTCAAGAGCCATACACATCGAAATGCTTGACGATATGACCACTGACGCATTCATCAATGCATTAAGAGCCTTTATTGCTATAAGAGGAAATGTCCGTCTACTTCGATGTGACCAAGGAACCAATTTCATTGGTGCAAAAAGGGAGCTTGCAGAACTCATAAAAGGAATGGAAGAAGAAAGGGTCAAAACTCTAAAATGTGAATTCCTAATGAATCCCCCAGCAGCAAGCCACATGGGTGGGATCTGGGAACGACAGATTAGGACTATTCGAAGTGTTCTCACAAGCATTCTGGACAATTCAGCTCAAAGACTGGACAGTTCATCTCTAAGAACTTTGTTTTATGAAATTATGGCGATTGTCAATAGCCGACCGCTTACAGTTGAGAATTTGAATGATCCATCTGCACCTGAACCTTTAACTCCAAATCACATTCTTACAATGAAGTCAACAATTATTTTTCCTCCACCTGGGCAGTTTGTCAAAGAAGACCTGTATCTGAAAAAAAGGTGGCGCAGAGTCCAGTATTTGGCCAATGAATTTTGGATTCGTTGGAAAAGGGAATATCTGCTGAGTTTACAACAAAGACAAAAATGGCAGAAAACCAGAAGAAACATGAAGGTGAATGACATCGTGCTTTTACAGAACGAGCAGGCACCACGAAATGAATGGAAACTAGCCAGAATAGCCGAGGTCTATCCAGGGTTAGATGAAAAAGTAAGAAAAGTAAGATTGTTGGTTGGTGATACCACATTTGACGGAAAGGGTAAACCTACGACTAAAACAGTGTTCCTTGACAGACCTGTACATAAACTTGTTACATTGATTGAAGCAAATGAAAGTAATTAAGTCTGACCAGCCCCTAAGTTTCCTTAGAAATCCCACACTGGGTTTTGTGTGATTTGGTGGGAGTGTAACTGCAGTTGCTGTTTATTTCTTCATTTATTTATTTTCCCATTTGTAAGACACTGGGTTAGTTGTGTTTCCTGTAATTTTATTTTGAAAAGCGACATGAGCTGCTCTGCCAGCCACACCCTTGATTTGATGGATACAAGCCAGGTGTGAGGAACACAGAACCTGGATGAAGTGCTAACAAGCAGACAGCTAATGGACTGCTAAAGAACTAACTAGTAAAAGGACTTAAAGGAAACTAGTAAAAGGACTTAAAGGAAGATGGATTCCCTTTGTGTTTTAAGCAAACAGCCAACGAGGTATTTATTTGTCTTTATTTTATTGCACATTATTGTATATGTTTTAATTGTACTATCCTGTATTTAGTTTCACGGTTTAAGAGAGGTCTAAAGAAAGGAGGACAGAAGAGGTCCACAATGAAAAGACGTCCAATAAACCCGTAAAAGAAATCACTTGCGTCTGTGTTGCTTGGAGGGAATCATAGTGCTGCCGCACATAAGCTTGGCATGAATGAATCCATGGTTCGGCGCTGGAGACGGCAGCGGGAAGAACTCATTCAAGCCAGCTTCACCCGGGGATGATAACAGCAACACGGACAGCGACACTGACATCGACACAGAAAAGGTATGTGACGAAGCTCTTCTGAGGCTGTTCAACTCCGACACTGAAGAAGAGGACTTTAATGGCTTTAGTGCGCAGGAGGAAGATGAGAGCGAATGACTTTTTCTGGTAGGCAAGTGTGTTTTATTTACTAACCAGGCATGTTTTGTGTGCAGTTTTTATTTTCTAATCATCCAGGGCTTATTAATGCTGAGTCAGCGCTGTTCTTTTCTTCTAAACATGCTAATTACGGTAATAACGTGTCAGTGCTGTTTTTATTTTATAACCATCCAGAAATATGAATGCTATCAGTGCTGTTCTCTTTTCTAAACTTGCAGGCACGTTCACCCGTGTATAAAATTCGTTTTGTTGAATTAAAACAACAACGAAAAACCTCCGTGTAGCGACTTTCTGTCTAATTAGCTCATGTTATGGCCGTACATGCGCTGTGCGCCAGAGACCTGCATGTGGCTGCTGCGCCGCGGCTTGTATTTGAGTGCGGTGTGTGTAGAAAACCTTTTTTTTTTGTTGGTGCGGCTTATATTGAGGTGCGCTCTATAGTCCAGAAATTACGGTAACTATATAATCCAAGACTAATCCTAATTTCTAGCATTCCCAGACCCAGTGGATATAGAGTCTCACATTCCTTAGTGGATATCAGTATTTCTATTCTTTTTGTGAAACCAGTTTAACATCTATACTGCTGCTGGTTTGTCCAAAATACAAGCTGAAAAATAAGGTTCATGGATATTTTAGATTTTTGTTATTAGGGCCTCTGGTTCATGAAGACAATAGTTAAACATGAGGAAGATCTGGAACTAGCAGCAGGGTCGTTGAGGATTTCACCATTTTAATGTAATTCTAGTATCTAGGACACAAATTCTGGGTTACTTACTTTCTCTCCTGGAGGTCCAATAGCTCCCTGAGGTCCTGGCATTCCCTGCAAAAACAACAAATATAAAACCAATTATGTATTCTTTACTCTAAACGTCGTATGCAAATGCAGAAAAGACACACTGCTCTCCCCAAAGGGGATGCAGCCTGTAAATTACTATAGAGCACACTAGAGCTGGGGATTCTTCAGCAACACAGGAACAATAAACTGCAGAAACGTCGGTCTGTCACATAAAGGCAATGATACCAGTGATGCAGCTTCTTACTCCTAAAAAACATCAAATGGCAGGTAGGTTGTCTCACCTGAGTTCCTGGAGTTCCCTGCTGGCCTGGAGGTCCGGGCTCACCTTGAGGACCCTGAGAGATAAAATAAAAAGTGACTGGAAGGTACAAAAGGAATAGTAAAATGTATAAAATTACTGGTTGTACAGTTCAGATCCTACTTGTAAATAATCTGATAATTTCATGATGACATGTTAAAGTTGCTTTCCGGAGTTTTCCCGTTTCAGAAATGATGTATAATTTGTCAGAAATCCGTAAAAGCGATTGTCTCATCCTGTGATAAAATGTAAGCGATACGTCTTGTTTTTTTTTTTTTTTTGCTAACCACGCCCCCTGCCCTGCAGAGCGCCGTGCAATAGGAAACTGAGCGCCAACCAGAACTAACCAATAGCGTTAGACTACCGCTTACTTGCTTCAAATTTAAGGAATACCTCGGCTGATGCAGAGTTGATGAACTTTTCACGGACAAGAAAGTCTCTAAAATATAAATATGTGAGACCACAAAGGAGAATAATACTCATAAAACAACATGTTTTTGCTGTTTGTCGCTACAGAAGCACATTTATAAACAGAAATGTGAAGTCGCCATCTTAAAAAAACAGGAACAGCGTTCTTGTGTGATATGCTTGTCAGCCACTAGATGGTGCCATCGGATAAGAGAAATACTCCGGAAAGAAGCTTTAACCATTACTGACCAAATTTCCTTTGGGACCATGAGGGCCATCATTTCCTCGTACACCCTGGAAGGAGAGAGAGAGAGCACACAGTAAAAAAAAAATTGCTGCCCATGTGAACAACTTCCTCACTGGTTTATATCAGAGCACTTTTTTGCAGATAGAAAGTGAAAATGCCCTTTTTATTCTTTAATCGCAGCAAATCAGACACTGGTGATGAGAAAGTCCATCATTTTAAACATCAATAACTATAAAGTTCTGCTGTAATATTCTGATTCATGAAAACAAGATAAAAGCAAAACAAAAAAGTCACACTACACTAAAACAGCTCTGTTAGATATAAATATATGGCGTAGATGTCAAAAATGGCTGCCAGAATCCTCCCTTCAGCAGAAACTGAAGAAACTTTGGGAATATCACATCCTAATTTCTGGATCAGTAGCTTTCCCGGCCGTCATATCAGGATACAGACTGTTGCTTCAGGCATGGCTGTGGGTGTTGTGTGGTTTACTTACAGGAGGTCCAGAGATTCCTGGAGGACCTTTAGGCCCGAGCAAACCACGGGGTCCCTAAAGACAAAGATAGAAACACATCTAGGGTAAGATAAAACTCAGTAACAGGGAAAACTCAAGGTCTAAAACAATACTCTCAAATTCAACTACCGTATTTTCCGCAGTATAAGTCGCACCAGCCATAAAATGTATAATGAAGAAAAAAGCATATATTAGTCGCACTATAAGTCGCATTTTGGGGGGAAACTTTATTACTTTTCTTACAAAATCTGAGACCAAGCGTTTCACATTGCAAGACAAGTACCGGTAATAATAACAGAATAAACAATCAGGGCGCAGCAGCGCGCCACGGTCTCCAGCAGAAGATGGCGGCGTTTCAAACCCTCCCAGTGGGTGGGGAGAGCGCCCGCAGTACCCCGCACGCCACAGGCTGCAGCAGGTGATGGCGGCGTTTCAAACCCTCCCAGCGGGGCAGAGGAGCTGAAACCTGGACCGGAGCCGGCCCGCAGCAGCGCGCAACGGTCTCCAGCAGGTGATGGCAGGGCAGGGGAGCTCATTCCTGGTCTGGAGCCGGCCCGCAGCAGCACGGTATACATAATTTGGTACATAAGTCACTTTGGTATATAAGTTGCAGGACCAGCCAGACTATGAAAAAAAGTGCAACTTATAGTCTGGAAAATACGGTATGTGAATAAATTATGTGTAAATATGCACAGCCAATAAAAATCAAAATGAGCTGGTAAATCTCTTTGGTTGCCATGGAAACACTCACGGGTTCACCTGGGAGACCCCTGGGTCCGACGTCTCCATCGTCTCCCTACAAACAGAAACAAGAGTGAATAAATGCTGACAAAACTGATATAAAGTAACACAAAGTAAGATTACTGAAGTATTTTAGATGTTTTTCTGTTTCAGTGCATACCCTCTCTCCATCTTCTCCTTGAGATCCTGGTGGTCCCATTGGTCCCGGGTCACCCTGACAAGATCCAAAGCAGAAGAAATCAGAACACAGAAAACTTCATCTACTTCCAAAAAACCCAAACAGTTATTCAAGCGTCGATGATATCACATGGATACATTACACATTACCAAGAACTTACCCTGTGTCCTTTGTCACCAGGCAAACCAGGAAGACCATCAAAGCCACGATCGCCCTGAGACGAACACACAAACCATAAGGCACAACGACTACACCAAACAGAATAGATAAAAAAACACAAATATGTATTATTTAGGGAATAACCTGTGTTTTTATTTGACAAATATGATAACAGAGTGAATACTTTACTTTAGATCCAGGCTCTCCGGGCATTCCCCGAGGCCCATCAGCACCAGCACGACCCTGAGAGCACATGCAGACAATATTAAAATGTTTTAAAACTTTAAATGTAAAGTTTGTTTTTACCAACTAAAACAACCCAAATAAGATTCTGTTTGGTCGTGTTTGCAAAAAAAGATTACAGGACCAAAACGACGTTATAAAAAAAAAACACACACACAAAGAGCTATCCTGGACCTCTGAAAAAACACAAGTGTTTGTTATGAACTATAATCTCTCTGTTAGCATGTGTAGAATCTGTGAAAACAACAAATACAACAAATAAAAACTAAACAGAAACAAAGTGGCTGTTTCTACTCACTCTTCTTCCTGATTTACCCGGAGGACCCAGCAACCCCTGTGATCCTCTGGGGCCCTAAAAACAAACAAACAAACAAATGTCTGTGATTGGTGGCCGGTATAAATGATCAACACCAGTTTGGAGAAGCGACTGGTTTACCTGAGGACCAGGATCTCCACTTTCTCCCTTCAGCCCAGAGCTTCCTGGACTTCCCTACAACAAATGAAACAATTAATTTGTTGACATCCATATTTAAATGAAAACAATTACATTTGCAACACAAAACAAAATCATAAAAAAATATATGTGTCTGAAATCTTTGGGCCGGCGCAGTTCAATGAAACATAACAATAAAGAGTTCATGAATAATCTGTTGAGTAAAACATTGTTAACAATTAAAAAAAAAACCTCTTGGTATAAACAACAAAACAAAAGGAAACATACCACAGGTCCAGGGCGCCCGGTGAATCCCATTGGTCCAGGAGGTCCTTTCAGTGCCATCTAAAGAAAATTACATCTCTAAATCAATAGTGATGATATGGCTGTTTATCAGGAATCTGTGGCAGAAATCTTCTTTCTAAATCAGAAATATTTTCTGTAGGTTTTACGTTAGCAGCCTGTATTAAACTTTCAGCCCAAGTTTCAATTGTCACAAATTTAATTTGTATTTTGGTGCATTTTTCTAATTAAAATGGCTTTTTCTATGCAAGGAAAAATAAAACCTGCCCAAAATGGTATAAATCTATTTCTAACTGGGTAACAGTAAAGCATCAGACATCCCCTAAGTGCACAGTGAACAGGTGACATAAAAGTTTCTGACTGACCCTAGCCTGAGACAAGATGGCGGCTGCCTGGGCCTCCTGTGCAGAGACAACGGGACCCTTATCGCCGCCACCCTGCCCAAAACGGAACTGCAAAGAAAGGAAGAAAAACAGAAGATATGAAGCAGATCCGTGTGTCGAATCGGAGAAAATATAACTGAACAACAAAAACTAACAAACAGAACCCAAAATGTCTTTGTAAGATGTAGCTGATTGACCAAATTGTTTGGTTGAGCGACCATAATGAAAATTCCATATATCAGTCTGTGTTAAACACAAAACGACTAAATCTAGTGAAAATGCAGAATCACACCCATGATCAAAAGGTACAAGTGACTCACAGGAAGCATGACTGAGGTTCCAGGAGGTCCAGGGACTCCATCAGCCCCAGGCAGACCAGCTTTACCAGGAGGACCCTGCAGGGTGAAGAGGATAGATGAAGCTGACAGAAGTGCAGAAAAAGCTCTAAAATAGCAGTAATTACACATTCCTCAGAACTACTGATGCACAAATCTGCCCTGAATAGAATAAAGAAGAAAATATTACTTACCCTCTCTCCAGGATCTCCCACAGAACCAGGAGGTCCAGATGATCCAGGAGGTCCAGACGGTCCCTTGAAAAGGAAATGTAGGATTTGTATATTTTTCAGCAGAGTAGAAGTGCAACTTAAAAATACCAGTTGAAATGAGGAAAATCATAAGGTCTAATAATTTTCATAAAGACTAAATAAATATGACGGACTTACTGCAGGCCCTTCAGGCCCTGGGGGACCTTCTATTAACATGCCCTAAAATGGACAAAATAAATAAAACAACTGAGAATTAAAAAAAGAAAGAAAACAGAATGCACCTTGCAGAAATCTAATAATAGGAAATAATTTAAAATATAAACACAATAAAACAGAATACTTCTCAAATATGAGCTGAATAAATAACTGGCCAAAAACCTTGGAGTCTTTCTCCAATTTTAACTTCTAATTATTGGCTCCTTTAAAAACCCAAAATTCATATCTTATGATGGGGTAAAGTTTTCATCATTTTACAAAATCAGACCCTCTAAATAAAAAGCTCAAGAGAATTTGCGACTCACAGGCTCCAAAACAGCAGGTTCTCCCTTTTCTCCTTTCTGGCCTCTAAAGGCGGCCTGAGGGAAAACACAAGTACCCAGGAACATGGTTCTGTCATTATAAACATACTTACACAGGAAACTGCAAAGCAAAACAAAAGTCTAGTTCATTCAAATATACGACAGGCACCAAGAAAATAAACTAAAACGTTTCCTGTATTATAGTAAAAGAACAAATTTACAACCTGTGTTGTTGTGAAAGGCATGAAAGCCTTCCTTCAAACATCACTGACTATTATGTTTTCCACCGAGCGGGTCCATTACTTTTCAACACTTATTGCATGAAAAAGCTTAGCAATAACAATAAAAAGCCATACACTGAGAAAATGACATTATTGACCGTTTTACTTAAAAATGCCTTTTTTTTCAGTGTATGTGAGAGCTACTGCTTACATTTATTAGTATTCCCAACAGCTTTTACTTTGGTAACAGCTAAAGCATTATTGTCATTGAAAAAGTCAGTTTCAACCACTAACACACCTTCAAGGTCTTGAATTGCATTCAAATATGTGTTCCTCTTTGACTGATTGAGCTTGTCGTAGAAACAACTGAAATTTAAAGTTGAAAATTTTTAGCTTAAAAAACAAATTTTATCTAGTAAAATTTAACTAGAGCAATATCGTATGGACATCGGGGACAGTTCAACTGGATTGGCAGACCGGGGTGGTGGTCCCTCTATTTAACCCTCCCACTGTCCTAATGGGTATGACCCCGCGAGGAAAGTTGACCATTGAGCAGGGTTGATGGTTTATCCCTTGGGTCCATATGGCAGGGGTGAGGAGTGAGCACCACCTCACCCCCGTCACGTGGACCTCAAGGGATAAACCATCAATCCTGCCCAATGGTCAACTTTCCTCGCGAGGTCACCCATAAAGACAGTGGGAGGGTTTAAAAGGGGGACCGCAGAATGTGTTCCAACTACAGAGGGATATGGTTTCCATTCTGGCTTTGGAACACTGGACCGGCTCTTTACCCTTAGGGCGTCCTGGAGGGTGTGTGGGAGTTTTCCCAACTAATCTACAAGTGTTTTGTGGATTTGAAGGTGTTCGACCGCATACCTTGGGGGGGCCCTGTGGGGGTACTTTCGGAGTATGGGGTACAAGGCCCTCTGATACGAGCTGTTAGGTCCCTGCATGACTGGTGTCAGAGCTTGGTACGCATTTCCCACAGTGTCAGGCTCGTTTTCCGTGAGAGTTAGACTCCGCCAAGGCTTCCCTTTGTCACCGATTCTGAAGCTCTTGATTAACTAGTTGATCTACGTTCCTACCCTCATCTATGGTCACAAGCTTTGGGTAGTGACCTAAAGAATGAGACTGCAGATACGAGCGGCCAAAATGAGTTATTTCCAGTGTCTGGGCTCTCCCATAGAGATAGGGCGAGAAGCTCGGTCATCCGGAAGGGGCTCAGAGGTGTAGACCCGCTGCTCCTCCACATCACGAGTAGCCAGTTGAGGTGGCTCGGGCATCTGGTTAGGATACCCTCTGGTGAGGTATTCCAGGTATGTCCAACTGGGAGAAGATTCAAGGGAACACCCAGGACACGCTTCAGGGACTATGTCTCTCGGCTGGTCAGGGAAGTCCTTGGGATTCCCTCGGAGCAGCTGGCCGAAGTTGCTAGGGAGGGGAAAGTCGGGGCCTCCCTGCTTAGGCTACTGCCCCCGCGACCCAACCCCGGATAAGTGGATGATAGTGAACGATTAAACAAAGCTTGTTGACATTATCGCTACTATGGCAGGTTTTGGAAAGAGGGGGTGGGGGAACACAATTTAAAGGCAAGTGCGGTCTTGTTAACCACTACAAATAAGAATTTCTGTCTCATTAAAAAAAAACTTAGTAAATTAAAGAAATATTTTCCTGTATTGAACTGTGACAGGTAAAAAACTCAATATCATCTTGGAGGACACTGAAAACAATTTGTTGGTTGAAACTGATTTTTCTTTTTGCCTCAGCAGCAAAATGACTTACGCCTCCCTCATCCGTCACAGCGGACAAGGCGGGCCCCATGTAGGCATCGACCTCTCCGGTCTCTGGTAAGGGCTCATTGTAGTCTCTGTAGGCATAGTCGTATTCCTTAAGGCCCACATCTCCAGTCACATACTCCTCAGTGAAGACTTCTTCACCAACACCGCCCGCTTTGGTGGCATCTACCTCCTCTCCCACCAAGGCTGGTTCGACCTGGGGCTACGATGGGTTCAGTAAAGCCGCAATAGGAAGGATACAGAGGTCCGAAAAGGAAGAATTAAACAAGGGAAGAAAAGGATGGAAGAAGCAGTAAGGAGATGAGCAGGATGGAAAGATGTTAGTAAAAGAAGATGAACAGCAACAACAAGAAGGTATGAAAGAAAGGAGCACATTCAAATAAATTAATCTTACCTTTTGCAAATATAATGTGACATTAGGACAAAAAAAGACATGTAGATCTCAGAGATAGTGCCTAATGTTGATCCAGGCTGACTTTTTCAGATGTGTCCTGTCACTTTAAGTCTTATGTCAATTACTTAATATTCGCTGACAGCAGCAGGTTTTCACCAAAGCCTTTCATTATCGATCCATGAGTATTCATATTTATTGATGAGTTTGAAAATAAAAGTACATTCTAATCAACTTAACTTAGGTTCTAGATATCACAGAAGAGATAAGAACAAACTTTGTGAAAACGGGCTTCTTCTATCTGCTGTACCATGCAAAGCCAAAAACGGTATCTTGCGTCTGTACTTACCATACATGGTATACTACAAATAAAAATCCATTGGGAATATATATTACATTTTCTCAAAAATAAACAGGCAGAATGTAGCACATTCAAAGCCTTTTGAACACAGACTTATTTGTTTTTTCTTTTTGTTGTTTTTACCCGAGTAAACATAGCTAAACGTTGTAGCATTCAAACTTAATATCAAAACAAATAAATCCAACAAACTAAAAAAATACAAATGTACTTTATGTTGCAAATGAGCTGTCAGATACCCATCTTATTTCTAAACATAAATACAACGAAGTAACTCATTAACAACTGTACTCTGTTAAGTACTTTCAAACAAGAATGCATTATATTCATCTGCTTTTGTTTCTGTGGTTAAATATGAACATCAAATACTCACATGTGGACCTGTTTTCCACAAGATTTTTGTTCTCATCTCAAGATGCCAACAATATCATCCAAGATTCTTGAGATGAGAACAAACAACAAATCTTGTTAAGATAAAAAGAGAACCACATAAAAATATCTGATGATAAACGCAGATGAATGTGGTACATTCTTTTTTAAAACACGTTTTCTCTCACATCTTGTTACAAGGCATCGGTGACTTTAACAGATTAGTGTGTGTTAGATGAGTAGAGGAACAGAGGTATTACTACTTTGTTAATCTACTTAAGACTGGGCTCACAGTCATACAGGTACACCGTTTTCATTTGATTCAGTTGGTTCAGTTGTATTGTGTTAACTTTAGAGATCCTGGATTTTACTGAACTAATCCTATCTTATTCTCCAAGATATGTAAAAGCTAGATTTGATGTGTGTCCGTTTCTTTTTACCTGTACAGGTATTTCTTCTTGTCCAACCACCTCACCGTCTGGCTGTGGGACCATCTCTTCATAGTAATAATCAGTCTCTGTAGGGGTGTGGCCAGCCTCAGAATATTCTGTGTCTACATCCTGATTGGTCAGGTAGACAGGAAGTGGTGAGCAGGGAGGAAGTAAGCAGATTTGATTAAGAGCAGGGTTAGTTTACAGGTGCTGGCCAGTAAATTAGAATATCATCAAAAGGTTGAAAATATTTCAGTAATTCCATTCAAAACGTGAAACTTGTACATTATATTCATGCAATGCACACAGACCAATGTATTTCCGATGTTTATTACGTTTAATTTTGATATTTATAGGTGACAACCAATGAAAACATCAAATCTGGTATCTCAGAAAATTAGAATATTCTAAAGGCCAATGAAAAAATGTTTGTTTCTCTAATGTTGGCCAACTGAAAAGAATGAACATGAAAAGAATGTGCATGTATAGCACTCAATACTTAGTCGGGGCTCCTTTTGCCTCAATAACTGCAGTAATGCGGCGTGGCATGGACTCGATCAGTCTGTGGCACTGCTCAGGTGTTATGAGAGCCCAGGTTGCTCTGATAGTCGTCTTCAGCTCCTCTGCATTGTTGGGTCTAGCGTATTGCATCCTCCGCTTCACAATACCCCATAGATTTTCTATGGGGTTAAGGTCAGGCGAGTTTGCTGGCCAATCAAGGACAGGGATACCATGGTCCTTGAACCAGGTGCTGGTGGTTTTGGCACTGTGTGCAGGTGCCAAGTCCTGTTGAAAGGTGAAGTCTGCATCCCCATAAAGTTGGTCAGCAGCAGGAAGCATGAAGTGCTCTAAAACTTCCTGGTAGACGGCTGCATTGACCCTGGACCTCAGGAAACAGAGTGGGCCAACACCGGCAGATGACATGGCACCCCACACCATCACTGACGGTGGAAACTTTACACTGGACCTCATGCAACGTGGATTCTGTGCTTCTCCGCTCTTCCTCCAGACTCTGGGTCCTTGATTTCCAAAGGAAATGCAGAACTTGCTTTCATCAGAAAACATAACTTTGGACCACTCAGCATCAGTCCAGTCCTTTTTGTCCTTGGCCCAGGCGAGACGCTTCTTGCGCTGTTTCTTGTTCAAGAGTGGCTTGACACACGGAATGCGACACCTGAATCCCATGTCTTTCATGAGTCTCCTCGTGGTGGTTCTTGAAGCGCTGACTCCAGCTGCAGTCCACTCTTTGTGGATCTCCCCCACATTTTTGAATGGGTTTGTCGTCACAATTCTCTGCAGGGTGCGGTTATCCCTAGAGCTTGTACACTTTTTTCTACCACATTTTTTCCGTCCCTTCGCCTGTCTGTTAATGTGCTTGGACACAGAGCTCTGCGAACAGCCAGCTTCTTTAGCAATCACCTTTTGTGTCTTGCCCTCCTTGTGCAAGGTGTCAATGATTGTCTTTTGGACAGCTGTTAAGTCAGAAGTCTTCCCCATGATTGTGGTGCCTTCAAAACAAGACTGAGGGACCTTTTAAAGGCCTTTGCAGGTGTTTTGAGTAAATCAGCTGATTAGAGTGGCAGCAGGTGTCTTCTATATTCAGCCTTTTCAGAATATTCTAATTTTTTGAGATACCAAATTTAGAGTTTTCATTAGTTGTCACTTATGAATATCAAATTTAAATGTAATGAACATTGGAAATACATTGGTCTGTGTGCATTGCATGAATATAATGTACAAGTTTCACGTTTTGAATGGAATTACTGAAATATTTTCAACCTTTTGATGATATTCTAATTTACTGGCCAGCACCTGTATAATCTGCTTGTAGGTCATGAGTAAAAAAGAAGAAATTGGAAAGCAAAATAAAATTGTGATCGCCAGACAGACACATTTTTGTTTCACTGGCAACTCACAATTTTAAACCTGTAAAAATTAATTTTAGAAAAGAAATTTCAATTAGGCTTGGATTGAATTATCAATGACTTTAAAATTTGCCAAATGCAGAATTTTAACAGTTATTGACTTTTCTTATCTGAAATTTCTTTTCATGCTTTTGTTAAACCATTTTCACTGTTTTAAGCTCACAAGCCAAGTTTCCAAAAAGGGTAAATATCCATCCCTTAAGATGGAAACATTACAGCTTGATGCTTCAGCATGTTTAGTTTCATCCATTGAAGACCAAATAACACAGAAACAAACAGCCTCACAGAACATTAACCAGCAACACATTTAACTTTATCAACTCCTGAACATACACATTTTTCCACCTTAAAAAAGAGGTCAAACTATGTAGTGTCATAAAGTTAGACTCAAAAGTTCTCTAGATTCTGTGAAGCTGTTTTTAAGAAAGACGTTTCTTAACCATAGAAATCCATGCTCATTTGTTTGACCATTACTTTAACTGTTTCCATAAAGAAGAAAAACGGAGTCCTCTAGCTGCTCAGGTTTTAAGATCCAGTTTTAGTATGAGATCAAGTAAAGAACAGTGAACCCATGCTTCAATGTGCACCGCTGGATCATATCATACAAAGAAGTTGGGAAGGTTGTCAGAATGATAAGATATATGGAAAGATGAGAACGCAGTCAGCTTGTTAGCCTGATTTGAACCAACTTCCAATCTGACATCCAACTTGTGCATCATCAAAATGTGCATGGCTGTCGACCTAAAGCAGGATCAACTAGTCATGAAACACGACAAAAATAAAGAGGCATATAAAGATTTTACTTTGATGATGGTCAAGGCTGATAAACAGACTGGGAAGACGGGACAAACATCTCTGGACATGTTGACCCAAACATGAATCTTCATGTTGTACCTGTTGGGGAATGTCGGTTCTCTTAGCTGGGACCGAAGCTCCCCGCAGTGCAGTCTCACCAAACGGTGGGAAAGGTCTGTGGTGGGACTTAACGTTGTTGTCCATGTCCTTGAACTTTGTGGGTCTGAGCAGCGTAGGTCGAACAGGGGCACGTGTTGGAGCTTCTTTTGTTGGGACAGAAAACTTTTTGGTTGTTGGTTTGATCGGAGGGACTTTGTTGAACACACTTTTAGCTATTGTCTTCTCTTTCAGCTCTGCTTTTTCTTCGATGTTTGCTTTTGGAGATTTGGTGGCAGAAACCTTTGTAGGTTCTGGTTTTGTTATTTTTGTGGGTTTCGGTGCTTTAGTAGCGACTACATTAACAGCTGACTTGGCCGTGCTATCTACAGAGTTCATTTTTGCAGTGGTTTCACTTTTTGCCTTATTTCCAGCCACTTTGCTAACATCTTTCTTTTTGGCTTCTGAAGAAACTTTGTTGTTCCCATTTGCTTTTGCTGCACCATTGACTTTATTTTCAGCTTTGCCATTGACTTCAGTGGTAGTTTTGCCATTTCCATTGGCTTTCTTTGTTGTAGTTTTACCTCTGCCATTTCCATTCACCTTAGACCCAACCGTAGCTTTTCCATTTCCATTGGTTTTCTTCTCGGCAGAGGCTTTTCCATTAACTTTTGTTTCACCTACAAGCTTCCCATTTTTGGCCTCAGTTTTGGCATTGCCATTACCTTTAGATGCACCACTGGGTTTCTTTGGAGAAGCTGTTTTACCAATGCCATTCTTAACTGGGACAGCTGTGGTTTTGGCTTTAGTTGCTGTTGTTGGTTTGATCTTTGACAAGAAGATGCCTGCAGCAGTGGGTTTAGCTTTGGACGGCTTAGCTGTAGAGGACTTGATAGCTTTGGTGGGCATGGGTGGCTTGACGACCAGTTTGTAAGGTCCAGACTTGGCTGACTTAGCTGGAGTGGGTTTAGTTGATTTAGTGGGAGCTGCTTTCCCACTGGGTGCCTTCTTCTAATATCCACGATTATAATGTTTAGTATGAAGAAGTGCATAGACAAAAAACATAGAGAGGGTAGAAAATGACAAAGATACACAGAGGGATTGGGAGGGAGATGAAAAGCACAAACAAGGGATTGACAGAAAGAGAAAAAGACAAGAGTGGATGTTTTGAGACACAGTGACATAAAGATGGCTAAGGCTTGGACGATTTGCTGAGACTGTGCAGGCATTACTGGATACAGCAGACGATCAGGTTTTAAAATACATTTAAAATAAACAATATTATCAAAAACAAACCTATAATGCACAATAAACAATACAATTTCATTACTTTGACTTGAGTTCTAAACTGGTATTTTTGCTGTTCTCTCCAGTAATGCCATTCCCACTGTCACATGATAAAGCAGCATCTTTGTTCAGTTAGGAACTGGGCACCATGGTTTAGTAGAGGCACTGAGGATGTGAATGGTCAGGTAAAGGTGGCTGTTTAACACACACACACACACACACACACTAGTCACACAACACAAAAAGCTCACACATTATTCACCTGCTGGGTAATAAAGCATGAAACAGTTGAACTGGAAAACAGAAAAGGTTCCAGCTGTTCAGCCATGCAAAAGAAACAACTCAGAAGACATGCAAACACGTGCTTTATAAAATGATAAAATGTGGGAAAAAAGACCATACACAGGTATTTTTTGTAAATCATGCCACTACTAATAAAAAGATAATATAGTTTAAGATCTAAACAAGCTTTCAAGGTGAACTGACAACCCATAGATGTAATACAGCACCAATGGATTTTTAAACTAGTATATAAGCATTCACAGTCCATCATACAAACCTTTGATGTAAAACTAGGCATTGAATATATCTCTATTTTGAAATCTATAAAAAAGATAATCAGATGATGCAAAACTAAAGTAAGTGCATGCGGTGTTCTTAAATCTCCGTCACAAACATGCAAGTAGCAGGACAATAAGGATCCTTCATTAAACAATCGTGCAAAATTAAGAACCCAAACAGAATAAGTTTATTTTAAAATAACATGCAAGGAAAGCAAGTAAAATGTGTGAAACACCAGAAAGAATCAGAAAACCAAAAGTATTAGTGTCTTCTTGTGTGGTTATGAAATGGTATTTATGTATAATGTAAAAAGGAAGATCAAATAACTCAGGTTTTCTAAACTTAGTTGTATTTGCATATTCTCTTTTTATATTACATTATATGATGGAAACTGTAATTATATTTTCTCAGAAATTTAATTTCAAAGACTTTTAGTTTAGGTCTAAATTGTAAAAGAACAAAATAAAATAGTTGGACAAATTACTTCTACAAGAGGGAGTAATAAAAAAACATAGAAAGTGTGTGTGTGTGTGTGTGTGTGTGTGTGTGTGTGTGTGTGTGTGTGTGTGTGTGTGTGTGTGTGTGAGAGACACAGCTGGACCTTCAGTTCCCCAGTGCCCTCACATGGCCACGTGTGAACACACATACTTAAAAGACAACATGTGGATGACATAAGGACAAAAATATCACAAGGTGCAAAAGTAATCCTGTGTGACACAAGTAGATGAAATAAGGCGAATGTGTAGGAGATCATTCTTAATGAGGAAATGAGACATTAAATAAAAGGGAAGTATGAAGTGATGAGAGGCTTTCAGAAGTTAAATTTAAACAACTTTTATAAACATTTCCAAAGAATTTTTTTCAGCAATTATGATAATTTGAATTATATTTAAATGATCAGAATGTGTTTTTGTTTGAATGCTCCTCTCATTCTCTCATTGCCCTTCCCTTCCACAAACCCAACTAGTGTCTTCCCTCTCTCTTGCTCCCACTTTACCTGCTGCTTGTGGTCCCCTGGTTGGGGAGAGGGGGATGAAGATGAGGAGGGAAGGCCTGTGGTTTCCTCATAATAATATGGATATTCATGGTCATCCTGCTCCTCATCAAAGTACCAAAAAGAAAGAAAAGGTGGAGGTTTTGTTTGGTTGTAAGCAAACAACCAAAGCAGTGGGTTGAATGGGGCAGGAGGATTCATGAAAGCAGGTGAAAAGCAGAAAGAATGAGAGACTGCAAAGGCCAAAGGTAAAAGACCAAAGTCATGTGTTGAAAGACTGCACCAGACAGCAAAATAGACAGACACAAATTAAAGCTGTAATTTCTCAGTTCATCAGAGTCTGCACAAGTAGCTTATAGGTGTTGACAAAAAGATGTCAGCAGAAAATCAACCCTGATGAAAGAGAAAATCATAAACAAACAAAGCCAATGAATATAACCACACTAACTTATATCCATTCAAGAAGCAGTCATCTCAACAGATTCAACATGACAGAGTAAGAGTCCTCTAGCAACCAAACGTTTATACTGGGTGTTTCTCAATGTCAAGGCGCCTGGCCTTGCGAGGCGATGTCTTGCGAGGGCAGGCGCCTTACTTACGAGAACGCCGTCCTTCCTTGGTCAACGAAAACGGTTAAATGGAACACAGTGTTTCCCTTACATAGGCGTAGCCGTGGCAGCCTGCCATGGCTGAAATCCCAGCGCCACGCCTACAAGATCCCAAGTTTTATTGGTTTTATCTTTTTTTGCGCTGCTTCCCGAAGAAGCAGCGGGAACTACTCTGTTGTTGCTTGTGATCACAGCCGGCAGGCAGCAAGGAGGAGGAGGCAGGGCAGGGTGGTTACAGCTAGGGATGAGCCGGATCCGGTATGCTCTAAGTGTTTTTCTCCCCAGAAGAAGCTACAGTGATGTTCTACTGAGCTGTGGTGGCCTCATGGAGGGGGCCATCGTCTAGCACACTGCTGCTAACCACTTAAACATTCTCCCTCTCCTGATGATAACTTTTTGCTTTCCTTGACGTTGGATGTGCTACTACTAGTTTACCTGCTTAATTATAGATTCACTAGGATAAATACAATAAAGTTTATCTCTCACCAAGTAGAATATTTACTAAGAAATCACAATGTAACCACAGACACATTGTTTGGTGTGTGTGTGTGTGTGTGTGTGTGTGTGCGCGCGCGCGCGCTCTGTCTTCTCGATCCCCAGTGAGTCGTGGTGGATGGCTGCTTATACTGAGCCAGGATTCTCTGGAGATTTCTTCCTGTTAAAAGGGAGTTTTCCTCTCCACTGTCGCTATATGCTTGCTTAGTATGAGGATTGCTGTGAAGTCACTGACCCTAGTCAGTGACTTGATGCAATTTGCTGGGTTCCTTATATAGGAAACATTTTTTCTGATTGGCTTAATGAACTGACCTGGATTGGAATGTTTATTATGTGAAGTGCCTTGAGACGACTCTTGTCGTGATTTGGCGCTTTATAAATAAAATTGAATTGAATTGAATAAAGCATTTTTGACGAATACGAGCATTAAACAAGTAAAACTCGTAAAAATCTGTAACCGTGCTGAAGGAAAATCCTGATTGGGTAACTGACTGTCTTCACGCTCTGTGATTGGCCAGTCACATCGAGCGCCCGCCATGCACGCACACAGACAACGGATCTCTCTGCGCTTGCTTCACTGTTGCACACGTTTCTTCTGAACTCCCTAGGTTTTCTTCAGCTCGCCTGTTTTTCGGTTGAATATTTAAAGCTACTTTTTTTTTTGTAACGTATGTGGTGCATTTGACAAGACAGAGCTAAAAACGGATTGCGTCGCGTCAGTCACTGCCTCCGCTCCGGTCGGGTTTTTTAAATTTTAACTCTCTCTCTCTCTATCTCTCTTACACGCGCACGCGCGCGCGCACACACACACACACACACACACACACACACACACACACACACACACACACACACACACACACCTTAATAAACATTGTTTTGTTTAACTGTGTGTGGGAAAAATGCCAACAACGTTAGGAAAAAATTCTGTTTAATCAAATTAAAATAAAAACAAAATTAAAAAGTTGTGTCTGGTTCTAGTATTTCATATTTCCTAGTTCCTACTGCATGAGTTCAGATGTATTAATTCATGCACTTAAATATTAATGTTCTTATTTAATTGAAAAACTTGTTCTGTAATAGTTCCTTTACTATTGTGATAAAAATGTTTAATCTCAATTCTGAGGCTGCTCTGTAAACTCTGTAAATAGTTTTCAAATAAACAATAGCTTATAAATAAACAACTTCTGATCAATCCATATCAATTTCAGATTTAAAATAATGTATTGATGTATACCACACCCACTAATTTCCAAATTATAAATAGGAGGTGCATTCATCGATGTCCTTTGATCCGCATTAGTGATGTTTTCAGCACCAGAACAATGAAGCAAAGAAACAGATTCCTGAGTTTGTTAGTTGTTAGTAATTTTATTTATTAGGTGCATCTGACCTGTTCTATTTTTCTCTGAAATGAGAACAAATCAGTGCTTCTATGGGTTGTTTCCTCTCGGCACTAGAAAAATGTACTTTATTATAATGTTCACTGTTATGTATCTTGATGTTCTTAACAAATAAATTAAATCAAAGGTATTGGTCAATAATGCCTAGGGCTGTAGCGAAGCCTTGACGAAGTCGACGGCTCGATTCTAAAAATTTGTCGACGTCAGATCCGGAAGTCGACGCACCGCGCTCACTTGTTGCATCCCCAGGAGTTTGTAAATAGAGGAGGAATCTGCCTGTTTTTCCTCTAGTTCGCCCTCTTCTCCGCCTTCACTAACATCTCCGCCAAATACAGAAGACCCGGAACAACGTCCGTCCACTACTAGATTATTTTCCTGTTTTGCCCCTTCGTCTCCCGGCAACGGACAACTTCCGGGGTCAGATGCGCTGCTTCGTGTCTACCGCAGATGTAGAAAATCACCGGGAGTGCTTCTCCCTTCATTAAGGAGCTTCTTTCAGACACGAGGAGAGCTGTTTTGGTGGTAGCAGTCTCTCCTCCGTGCTGGTCTGTTTGCTGCCGGGTGTTTTTGGTTTATTTAAACTTGGTAACTTGAACTTAATGTTGGTAAAGCTACTGTTAGCATCTTCGCTAACAGCTTCTTGCGTTGGGATAAGCTGTTACGTTTTGGTTTAGAGTTCATCTTTTTTGTGGTGTAGATCTCCCTTTTATTACATTTAGAGTGTTGTGGGTTTTCGGTTTAGTGTAAAATATCACCTGAGTTTGGTTTAACCCGTAAGACCACTCGCCTCACGCACATAAGTGACCAAAACAAAGCAGCATGGAGACACTATATCTTCTACCACCTCTCAGGCAGCAGCCTGCACTCCCAAGTTCTACACGTCATCAGAACATAACCAACCAACACAAAAAAAGCAGTGTTATACAAAATGGAAGGCCTGTAGTGTTTATTCTCTTACAGTAAGAATTTATCAATTTTTTTGAGGAATTTATTTGAGATTTTCTGGTTTTTGTTAATTGTGCAATAGAAAAATAATCATTAGATTAATTTTCTAAATAGTCATTAGAATAGTCGACTATTCGATAAAATAATCGTCAGAATAATCGTTTTAAAAATAATCGTTTACCCCCAGCCCTAATAATGCCAAACATGTACATTTGTGTTTCAGTCATTTTTATACTGGCTTAAAAATACTTCATTAAGTCTACTAAGCATGGGTGTAGAAGGTTTTTAAGAGGGCCAGCCCAGTAATGATCTTGGACCAAAATAAAGGGGGCAGAAAGTCAAATAAAGGGGGCAGAAGGAGATGTCTTTCCCGACACCAAGAAAAATTAAACGCCAAATCCCCCCTGCAAAGTGTGTCACAGAGTTTAAAACAAAAATTATTCTTGTGCAAATATTGGTGTAATCACCTTTAATACTAGTTATTAAAATGCAGCAGTTGCTGGATTGGTGCAGTTCAAAGTGGAGTGCATCAAATAAAACAATATTAACATAAAGGTGAGACGTGTCATAATTTCACCCCTCCCACCACCACCACCACAGCTGGAAAAATTCCTAGGGGAAAGACTAGAAAAGACTTGCATCACGTGACCGCAGCTTCCACAGCGGTCACGTAAAGTCATGTGGCACAGGAGATTACATTATATTTTATACGTATTAGTTTCAATATAAATATATAACGAGCCTTTTACTTTTTAAATTGTGTATATATTTGTTAAATAAAAAATATAAGTGAGTTACTAACTGCTAGCCACCGAAGCTGCAACTACTAAGCAACTAACCAACCATAGATAACTTCTTTGTAGGGCTGCTCGATTATGGCAAAAATAATAATCACGATTATGGTGACTGAAATTGAGATCACGATTATTTAGGACGATTTTTCAATTTATGTTGATTTTATTTGTTTTTATTCAGTCATAAAATTGCTCAGGGCACAATCAGGACAAAAATAAGAAACAAGATGATCACTAAAATAACTCCTGATTCCCAGTATAAAAAGACCAATATACTTATAGCTCATAGTTTATGACCCAAGGTCTATAGACCTTGGTTTAACTCATTTAAGTCTAACCAGTACAGACCCAAATACCAATATCTTGCAAATACTGACAGCAAGAATTATACAGTGGCATTTATAACAAATAAACACAAATAAATTGATGTTCACAAAATGTTGCATAATACGTATTTAGTCGTGTCAAGGTGCTGCTGGAGAGTGCACTAGCACCGTGTCCTCAGAGAGATTAGTTATTATTTATCAGCGTGAGGAACTTATTTCTACCTTATTTATAAACTATTTATTTACAAGTCCATCAATTAATGTAATAATTGTCCCAACCACAGCTGCACCCCCCACCCCCCAACCCGGTCTCACAGCAATCAGGGCAAGCTGCTCGTGTGTTTAGCACGCCGCACGCGCACATTTAGCCGTTTTAGTGGCTCAGGAGTCCGCAGGTGCGGTGTGTGTGTCACTCGCTCTGGTTACTCCAACAGGGAGCCGGCTCTGAGAGCCGTCTCTTTAGCGACCGACACATCACTACATCATTCCCTTTCCTAATGTCCTGAAGAACGGTCCGGAGAGCAGGCGGAGTGTTTAGCTAACCTGCAGGAAATGTCGACGACAGTTATCCAGAAAGTAGCTAAGGGTTACCAGAGATGTTTCTGAGGTGTTCGCTAGGTACTTTTAAGTTAAAAAGTCAAGAAGGGGGTCTGAAAAGCTGCTAGAAATAGCGTCAAAGTCACAAAGTTGGCAACACTGTGGGAGGAGCGCTTAATTTGCAACTCGGCGCAGCGCAGGCGGGAGGAGCAAATAATCGGCTTGTTTTGTTTTTTATAATCGTTCAAAACTCAGATCGTAATCGTGATTAAAATTCGATTAATTGAGCAGCCCTACTTCTTTGGATCTAAAAAAAACATTTAAATTAGCGGACTTACTTTTAAATTTGAAAATTGTCCTCGAAGTAGCTGCCGGCTTCTGGTCCGCCGTCTTTTTGAAAATGCAGAGGTGTATTGTGGGCAATTTTTGACCAAGGCTAGGCTACAAGACACCTCCCGTGTATCCTGCTCAACTAGCGGCTAACAAACGGAGAACACACGCCTCGGTAGAACATGAACATTGGAACACGTCTTGTCGGCCGTTGATCAAATCAAATCAGATACTTTATTAATCCCAGAGGGAAATTAGAGTTTCAGTACACACAGTTCAAAGAGTTGGTGACTGTGGTCATTCGCAACCCTGAGTCGCGCTACCTTTCTATCTCCTAGGCAACCGGGGCGGGGCCAAGACATCAAGGCAAGGTTCCTTGGCATTGAGAAACACCCACTGATTCAGACCAGGCATGCAAGCTTGGAAACATGTATTTTGAATGAATGAATGCAGATGAAATTTATTTGTTTACATAAATCTGTGATAATGACGATGAGGAATGTCGACTCTGGGAAAAGCTTGCAAAGCCTATTATGCATGTGATGTGCACAACCAGTCTCAGAAGACCCCTCCTACATCAAACTTTAGCCAAATTTTATGTCACAACTTTACCAGAATAATCATCTGAATTTAATTTCCATAAATTATGTGTTCAGCTGGTTCTCTTCATTTCAATCTATCAGAATAAAACAAGGAGACGTACATGTTTTATTGTATCATCCTTTTCCCCTACCTTTCTGTGTTCCATTGCAGTAGAGCGGGAAACAGTGACAGCTAGTCCACTACTGAAAGTGTGTATCGTGATTAAAATGTCCATTATAGTGGGAAAAGTTTTGTAAGGAACATGACTATCCGGCTTTTCTAAATATCAGGAGCAAGCTTGTTTATGTGCAATATTTCAGTGATTACAATCTCAGATGATGTAATCACTGAAATATTGCACATAAATTCCCACTGCATGTTGGCAGTGTGCAGGAGTACTGTTCTGCCTCTTTGGATCTAGCTCGATCTGCATCTATTTGAAGTAAACGATGAGCAACATAAGTTTATTCTAAATACCACAGGACACACAGATTGTGATGGTGAGGGGAAAATCGGATGGATACAACCTGTTGCTGCTGATGAGACGAGGATGCACGAGGAAGACAGAAAGGGTGAGCAGGACTTTGATGATGTTATCAGATGACCCAATCTGAGCCTGAGGACCTTTTAACCACCCTGTCCATCTGCTGAAGCTTTGTTACTAAATATAGTTAATGATAAATAAAAAATCTAAACAATTTTCCTTTAAAAAGGTAAAAGGAAAATGGCAAAATTACAAATATTTTTTTTTGTAATGGGAAACGTGAGTAAAAGCCACTGGACCACACCACCAGTGGCAAAAAAGTGAATAGAAATGTCTACGCTGTTGGGTGGCCTCTGGTATTTTGTTGGACTTTTAACTTATTGTAAATATTTCTCTTCTTTTTTTTCCCCTGATCTTCCCTGGGGCCACACTGGGGGCATCAGTGGCGCTGAACAGCAGCAGAACGTTGCAAATTCAAATATAATCCATACAGTCTATGGGTTTGATCCAAACTGGCAATGGCACCCAACTTTTCAGGTGGTGGTGTGCTGCTAAATGCATGACAGGGTTATATTTTAGCCGTGGGCCGCTTTTTGGGATGCGTCAATTTCAGCAAATAACACAGGGCTAGACAGGAATTCACACTTGGTATCAGTGTAATACGTCCGGTAATTTTCAAAATAAAAGCCTATTGCAGAGATGTGCTTTCTTATCTATGTAGATAAGATAACATCTATACGTGTGATCTCACGGCTTATTTAGTCCCAGTATCTTTCAAGAAGCGCAACAGCGTGTTTTTCTTCATGGATGTGATGTCCTTTTTCCTCTTCCTGCTTTAATGGTGAATTAAGTCTTGAGGGATTTGATGACTTCACAAGCCCAGCAAGGAGGACGTTAGAGATGCCGCATCGCTTGCAGTGTGGATTAACGCACCTAGTAAAAAAAACCGTCTTGCTGCAGTTTTGTGCCGCTGATGCCCCCGGTGTGGACCCAGGGTTACGCTACAAAAGCGGCCATTTATTTTCAAGGGAAAAAGGTTTATTAAAAAAAATCCAATCTAGATGCAGTTAATTTTTGTCCTTACATTACTTTGTCATTCAAGTCTATGGAGAACATGACCCTTGTAAATAAAGTCCCCAGACTCTTATTGGGTCAGCTTTACTGGAGCTATAAATGAGCCTAAAATTAAAAGTGTACAGCGTACAATATCTGTCTGAGGATTTTTACTTTAGGTCAAATTACTCATTTGTCTTGCTAGTTCTAATTAGATTTCCATGTGGCTGTGTGACATTTTGTAACTACATAAATGTCGATCGAATTTGGGAAGAATAATGGTTATTCGAGCTATTCTACCTTGGTGAAACTTATATTTGCATGGACTTGTTCTGTGGTGTTACTCACGTATGTGTTTGGGTCCTGAGCCTGGGTCTTGGGAAGAGGGGAGTCACAGTCAGGACTGTAGTGTTCACAGAAGTCATAGGCCGCCTGAGGGTTGGAGGCAATTAACAGCTGCTGGATGTCTCCCTGTAAAACAAACAAAAACAATTATAATTTATTGATGATCTCAGACTCAACAGAAATGTTTAATCTTTGTAGAACCAGTGGAAGTGCTTTCAGTCACCTAACAATAAGGTTTACTTTCTCAAGATTCTGACCTGGAAAACCTCCTCATCAAGCAGACGAGCTCCAAACACTGTGATGCCATTGGTGTCAATCACAGCATTGTTGCCCCGGGGAAGAGGACGGGTCATCTTCTTCTTGCAGTCCAACAGCAGAGTCACGTTTTTCTTGGAAACGGAGAAGGCAATGCGATGCCACCTAGTGACAGAAGAAGAATCCGTGAGCAAACATTTATGTCAAATAAAGAATAAAGAAACCAACCATCTCCTACATCATGCAGATCATACTATTCCTAACCACCACCACCCACATAACCACAAATAACTCATCTCAATCAGTCACAAACTGGTGTTGCTGGTTACTGACTTGCCATCAGCCAGGTTGATGCCTTTGAAAAGCGGGTAGTCCTCAGGAGCTGGCTTTCCATTCTGGTCTTCGTACAGAAAAACAGGCGAGCGTCCCATTTCAATGCCCAGTTGCTGAATGCCCTGCTCACTGTAGATAGAGAGGAGGAAAGCTTGGAGACCAGCCTGGGCCTTTATCAGAGCCATGATGGAGAAGTTCTCTGGGAAACGCCCTAAAGGTGGAAGGAAAGATAAAAAAACTTCAATCTAAATGAGAAGTGATAGTTCACAAAAAAAGAAGACAAGAAACTAGGAGCTGTGTTTGGTGGCACTGCTGAAAATAAAGCAACGAGAGAAATCCACCAGGACTAAAATGCATCAGAACGAATCAAGATGTGAGCTCATAATAACAGGCTGTACAAAAAATAACAAACACAAAAAGAGCTGGAAATCATTTTGTACTTAAGAGGATTTTACTTAACATAAGTGAGGCTTTTTATTTTCTAGTCACAAGTGCAGAATCACATAATTGTACATAAAACAAATCAGAACAAAGCACAAACTTTCTCTCTGAAATTTAAAAGGCTTCAAAATTATTTCAAAGCTAAGCTAGTTAGCAAGCTGCAATAATTACGTTTCACATTATAAAACAATCAATCAATCAAATCAAAGATACGTTATTAATCCCAGAGGGAAATTAAGAGTATTCAAAATACTCTAGCCTCGAATTTATAAGCAAACCTTTGCTTCACAAAACAAACTTTCATCGTATCTTTTATCTAAATATATCATCATCATCATCATCATCAAAACTTACATGAATATATTAATGGGAGAAATCAGGACAAAGAAGGCTGAAAGTCGTTTAGCGATAGATAGCTAACATTAGCTGCTCGTTAGCTAGCTAGAAAGCATAAATGTTTGTATTCGCTACTATTTCCTGTATAAGTTCACGTTTACTTAACTATTGCGCAGTTATTCACGGTAAAACAACAAAATAAATGTTAGAAAACCGCCAACTATCTATTATGACAAATATCTTGGCTTGTATCCGTGCCCATAAAAGCTAGCTTAGCCCTAGCCTGAAGTTGTCCTGAAGGTCACGTGCGCTTCCTCTGAAGTTCAACCAACGAATGAATGATTGATTGAATGAATGAGGCGTTTTGATAAGATGTTTTTCATAATTCTTCTTACAAAAAAGTAAAGCATTACTGCACGTCTTAATGTTTATATATATTAAATAACTTTTATTTTGACTCAAAAATTTTTTACTTAACAAAATTTCACATTTCAACTGGAATAGCCAGGTAATTTATGTGGTTTTCTATTTGTCATCCGTTCATATAAAGCATAAAGATTTGTTTCTATGACATTTAATGAGATTCACTACTTTGTCCACTATAAAAATAAAAATTCCATAAAAAAATTTTACCATTAGAAAATATGAAGAAAAAAACATCAATTTAGTATCTCTTTATGTGAAATCATGAAACCTATATTAAAACATGACTTAGTATATACAAATAAATATCTTTATTGTGAAGCAGTCACCTTAAATACTATGCATCAGTCTGAGAACTACCTGAGAAGAGCTGCTTGGTGGGGGCAGAGATCTGGGCCTTCTTGGTGATGCGGTAAGCATGATCAGGGCTGCTGGAGCGACGGGATGTGCAGAAGCCAGGGACTTTCTTCACACCCTCGGGGAGAGAGGGAACCTGCAGAGCCCGCAGCACATCAACTGGATCTGATAAAAGAGAAACAAGTGAAGAAATTAATTTTATTGCTAAATAAACAAACAATGAACCCTTTATCAAATGTTATGTAGCTTAAACTTGACGTACAATTACAATTTCATATCATACATACCAATAAGCAAGCTATTTAGTAGTTTGATGAATAATGTAGTTATTGTTTCCAACAACTTTACAGCTCTACTGACTCTGCTTTCAATAAAGTTGATGTTAAATGTTTCAGCTGTACTAATGTGATACGGGATGTAGTATCGGAGGTGTTCACTGAACATTTAGGTAAACTATAAGAAAGGATGCTCTGTGCTGGAGGAGATGGGCAACAGTCCAACCACCATTTATGAGCGAGTGCACGGTGGGCACAGCAAAGCTCAGCTTCCATCTGAATGAAGACGATCTCGTCTGTTAGCAGCTGGGACGAGTGGCTGTTGATGTGATAAAGTACTGAGTCAAATTAATATTTATTTGGTATCACAGTCATGTTACTATTCATATGACATAAATATGGGATCTAAAATGTTGAAATCCACACAAACTCCTGTGATGCTCTAATATAACACTAATACAGAGTTAGACAGTGAGCCAGTCTATCATCCTGTCACACACTAAACTAGTTTGCTTACCCACCTCCAGTCTGAGCTGCAGCCTCCTGACACACTTCAAATAAACAATACTGACTCTTTAAAAAGACAAATTTTATTTACACACAAGTGCTGACATAAAACAAATCATGCATCTCAGAACTAACTTGAACACACATTCCCATATTAACGCTGTTTTTTAAATAATTGCTCAATCTAACATGAATAGTTTCATCAGTATCTCTTCATGGCTACTCTGCCCTGCTGTCTAGGAACATCACTAATAACTAAAGCAAAATCAACAAAGGTTTAAAAACCAAACACTGGCATGCATTACAAAAGTTTGACTTAGGTCGTCGTCGTCTTCCTCCGCTTATCCGGGTCCGGGTCCGGGTCCGGGGGCAACATCCCAACTAGGGAGCTCCAGACCGTCCTCTCCCCGGCCTTCTCCACCAGCTCCTCCGGCAGGACCCCAAGGCGTTCCCGGACCAGATTGGAGATGTAACCTCTCCAACGTGTCCTGGGTCGACCCGGGGGCTCCTGCCGGCAGGACATGCCAGAAACACCTCCCCAGGGAGGCGTCCAGGAGGCATCCTGACCAGATGCCCAAACCACCTCAACTGACTCCTTTCGATCCGGAGGAGCAGCGGTTCTACTCCGAGTCCCTCCCGAATGTCCGAGCTCCTCACCCTATCTCTAAGGCTGAGTCCGGCCACCCTACGGAGGAAACTCATTTTGGCCGCTTGTATCCGCGATCTCGTTCTTTCGGTCATTACCCAAAGCTCATGACCATAGGTGAGGATTGGGACGTAGATCGACCGGTAAATCGAGAGCCTGGCTTCCTAGCCCAGCTCCTTCTTCACCACGACAGATCGGCTCAGCGTCCGCATCACTGCAGATGCCGAACCAATCCGCCTGTCGATCTCCCGATCCCTCCTACCCTCACTCGTGAACAAGAACCCGAGATACTTAAACTCCTCCACTTGAGGTAGGACCTCTCTCCCGACCCGGAGTTGGCAAGCCACCCTTTTTCGTTCGAGAACCATGGTCTCAGATTTGGAGGTGCCGATCCTCATCCCAGCCGCTTCACACTCGGCCGTGAACCTACCCAGCAAGAGCTGAAGGTCAGAACTGGATGAAGCTAGGAGGACCACATCATCTGCAAAAAGCAGAGACGAGATTCTCCTGACACCAAACTCGACACACTCCATCCCACCCTGCACCTAGAAATTCTGTCCATAAAGGTAATGAACAGAACCGGTGACAAAGGGCAGCCCTGGTGGAGTCCAACCCTCACCGGGAACAGGTCCGACTTACTACCGGCTATGCGGACCAAACTCACGCTCCTCTGGAAAAGAGACTGAATGGCCCTTAACAGAAAGCCACCTACCCCATACTCCTGGAGCGTCCCCCACAGGGTGCCTCTGGGGACACGGTCATAAGCCTTCTCCAAATCCACAAAACACATGTGGATTGGTTGGGCAAACTCCCATGCCCCCTCCATCACCCTTGCAAGGCTATAGAGCTGGTCCACAGTTCCACGGCCAGGACGAAAACCACATTGCTCCTCCTCAATCTGAAATTCAACTATCGATCGGACCCTCCTCTCCAGTACCTTGGAGTAGACCTTTCCAGGGAGGCTGAGGAGTGTGATCCCCCTATAGTTGGAACACACCCTCAGGTCACCCGTCTTAAAGATGGGGACCACCACCCCGGTCTGCCACTCCACAGGAACTGCTCCCGATGACCACGCAATGTTGCAGAGACGTGTCAACCATGACAGCCCTACAACATGCATAGCCTTGAGATACCCAGGACGAACCTCATCCGCCCCCGGGGCTCCGCCGCTGTGTAGTTGTTTGACTACCTCAGCAACTTCTGCCCCCGAGATTGGACAGTCCATCCCCAGGTCTCCCGGCTCTGGTTCCTCCTCGGAATGCGCGTAGGTGGGATTCCACCACCTTCCACCACCCGACTGTAGCCCCAGTTGACGTCAGCAGCTCCCCATCCCCACTGTAAACAATGTGAGCGAGTTGCTGCCTTCCTCTCCTGACAGTTTGCCAGAACCTCTTTGGAGCCGATCGATAGTCTTTCTCCATGGCCTCACCAAACTCCTCCCACGCCCGAGATTTTTCCTCGGCAACTGCCACTGCTGCACCCCGCTTGGCTATCCGGTACCTGTCTGCTGCCGCAGGAGATCCACAGACCAGCCACGCCCTGTAGGCCTCCTTCTTCAGCCTGACGGCTCCCCGAACCTCTGGTGTCCACCAGCGAGCACGGGGGTTGCCACCACGACTGGCACCGGCCACCTTGCAACCACAGCTAGCAATAGCCGCCTCAACAATCGCAGAGTGGAACAAGGCCCACTCGGATTCGATGACCCCCACTGCTCTTGGGACGCGGTCAACGCTCTGCCGGTGGTGGGAGTTGAAGACCGTCTTAACAGGTTCTTCTGTCAGGCGTTCCCAGCAGACCCTCACTATGCGTTTGGGTCTGCTAGGTCTACGCAGCATCTTCCCCTGCCATCTGATCCAACTCACCACCAGGTGGTCAGTTGACAGCTCCTCTCTTCACTTGAGTGTCCAAAACATACGGCCACAGGTCAGATGATACGACTACAAAGTCTATCATCAACCTGCGACCTAGGCTGCCCTGGTACCAAGTGTACCGATGGGCATCCTTATGTTCGAACATGGTGTTCGTTATGGGCAAACTGCAGCTTGCACAGAAATCCAATAACGAAACACCACTTGAGTTCAGATCAGACGGGCCGTTCCTCCCAATCACACCCCTCCAGGTCATGCTGTCATTGCCCACGTGAGCATTGAAGTCCCCCAGCAGCTCTAACCACTGTGCCACTGCGCAGCCACTAAATCTAATTATCCCAGTTAAACCAGT